AGGGGGGACCGGGATGGGGAATACATGTAAATCCATGGCTAATTCATTTCAATGTATGACAAAAACCACTGCAATGATGTAAAGTAATTAGCCTCCAACTAATAAAAATAAATGGAAGAAAACAAACAAAAAAAAAGAATTCTGTTAATATTTTTCTAGGAATAAAAATGTAAATATAATTAAAAAAAAAAAAAGATGTGCATGCATGCGTGCTATGTTGCTTCAGTCGTGTTCAATTTTGCAACCCCAAGGACTGTAGCCCATCAGGCTCCTCTGACCATAGGATTTTCCAGGCAAGGATACTGGAGTGGGTTGCCATGCCCTCCTCCAGGGGATCTTTCTGACTCAGGGATCAAACCCATGTCTCTTAGTCTCTTGCATTGGCAGGTGGGTGATTTACCACGAGCGCCACCTGGGAAGTCCTCAGATATATAAGCAAGATATATAAAATGCTAAATTAAACTACTAGGTCTTCTAGCCTGAAACAGTTTTGAGTCAGTGACTCTGAACTTTTGGTGGAATTTTCAGTTCCTTCCAGAATTTTCTTCCCAATCTTAGCTCCGGAGGTGGGCCCCCAAACCACCCTTCTTGCCCTGGACTACTCTGCCACTCCTTCGCCTGGAGTGATGACAATGACTGCTATTCTCCAACATGTGAAGAATTCTTCCTATCTAACTCCACAAATTCTTCTTTTGACTTGGATTTTCCTGCATAAATGTTGCCAATATCTCCTAGAACCTTGATCCTGCCAGCCTCTATTGTTTCAGCCTCTGGAAGCCAGACCCTGGTCATTGATCTGTTTTGTTTTCCTGAGTCATTTCATAAGCTCCTTGTTCAGTTCCATGCTTCATTTATGGTGACAATTTTGGACCTAGAATTAATCACGCTACTGGTCACGTGAACTGGTGCCACTGCCACTGCCTTGGTCAAAATCACCAGAATGCATCACTGGAATGCTGAATGTCTCAGCTCACAAGCCTATATATCTTTTGTCCTCTTCCAATCTGCAGTTTGAATGATAGTTTTGAAATAATAATCCAATGATCTCTTTCTCTCTCTCCACACCAAGAAGCAGACTACCCCCTCATTCTGTGCTGTTGAATGAGTTTTCCTAATCCATCCTTTGCCTGACTCAGTTTCACAAAGGGGATTTCAGCTCCAACTTCCTCCCTCCCTCAGCCAAAGCCTCATCTTCTCTTAGCCAAACCTTGGTGTTCCCGAGATCAATAACTCCTAGAAGGGAAACCATGGTGCCCTTCACTGGTCTATCTAGTTTTTTAATCCCTTCCAGCAACTGAGAGCTTCCCTTTCTTATAATATCTACTCTGCAGTAAAGAGAGTATGTTTTATTCTGTGTGCAGCATCCCAGGTGTTTTAGCATGAACATTTTTAGGTTGCCTACTGTTTCATGGGTCAAAATATCTTGCTCTCTGCACTCAACCCACGCATCTTTCTGGTTTTCCACTGTTTATTTCCTCATTAGGATTTTTAGTGCTGTTTTTTCCACCAGGAAGTCTCTCCTTACTTAAACTCTCAACCACAATGATAGGTAAATTGTATAAGAAATATTTCCTGATTCCTTGATAAAGTCGGGCTCCTCTCTTAACATATATTTCAGTGTTTCCTTCTGTGGTTCCTATGGTATTCTTCTTACATAAATAGTACTTATTGCAATTGTACCTTATAGTCTACATCCCCTTCCAAAAGCTAAGTTCCTTAATAGGAGGGCAGAGGCCTTGTTATTAATAGTTTCATTCCACTGTACATGTCTTCCAGTGCAACATGGAAATAATGATAAACAGCATGCATTGAACTTTTTCTGTATGCCTCACCACAGCTCCACTGGTATCCCCATTTTACAAATGAGGAAACTGAGGGATAAAGAGATTAAG